GTTGGCCAGTTTTGCCAAGAGGTGATCATGGGATACCAGATCAAAGGCTTTTTAAGTCAAGATACATGACGTCAATCTCCTCTCCCTTGTCCAGGTGATAAGTCACCTGGTTGTAAAAGGAAATAAGATTGGTCAAACAAGACCTACCCGCAACAAACCCATACTGGCTATCCCTCAGGATGTTGGCATCAGCCAGTCTGTTCAGAACGGCCTCTTTAATAATCTTTTCCAAGCCCTTCTCCGGGATAGAAGTCAGGCTGATGGGCCTGTAGTTTGCCGGATCCACTTTCCTCCCTTTCTTGAAGATAGGCATCACATTGGCCTTCTTCCAGTCTTTGGGCACTACATCAGAGCACCAGGAGTTCTCAAAGATCCATGCCAGGGGCTGGGCTATGATGCTTGCCAGCTCCTTGAGTACCCTGTGGTGTAGATTGTCAGGGCCAGCTGGCTTGAAGGTATCCAGCCTCTCAAGGTGTTCCTTCACAAGTTCAGCATTGATGGAGGGCAGGGAATCTCCCTCACCCAGGCCTCCCTGTCCTGTAGTGGGCGGGGGGGAGGTCCCATGGGACTGATGAAAGATCGACACAAAGTACCCATTTAATAGGTTGGCTTTTTCCTGGGCGTCGCTTGTCAGTTGTCCCATCTGGTTTAGCAGGGGTTCTCGCTTTTCCTCCGGCTCCCCACATATCTTCCTCCATTAAAAAGAATTATTCTTTTTCATCTTATGAACTGATTATTTTTGATTTATCATCAGAAAATCTAGGTGTTTGCTTTATCATTGCATAACATGTGCAACACTTTAGTTTACTCTGAGATATGATTTCATCATCTCCAAAAGAGTTACAATGGACATTGGACATATATTGCAAAACTGCTGGTCAATTCCTTAAGAAAGGAAATTTAATGTTACTTAAAGATACTGCTTTAAAAGGACACGACAGAATTCTGGCACCCCATAACTTAGCAGTTCAAACTTTTTTTATGCATTTCCTAATACTTTTTTATGCACTTCACATCTATAAACAGTCTTTGATAAATATCCAGATACATTTCCTAAAAACTCTACAAATGGATAGCAAGGTACAGTCAAGAAACTGCCGAACAACCGTCATCTGTAAAATTTTTATGGCATTTGTATTTTGCTTTTGCAGCCCAGTGCTCTTTCTGATCCTTCTGGATTACCACATCTCAGAGCTCCTTCTCTTGCAGGTATCATTTTCCAAAGTTTGTGAGTTTTTTTTTTACTCTGTTGAACTCTTATGAGACACAGATACATACAATATTTTCATAAACACTCTGAATTGAAGTATTTGTATATGTACAACCCATATTCTAATTATCCCTGTTGTGGTAACAATTTGCTATTCAAAAGCAGCTTGCCCAAAGTTCAAAGAACTCAGATCAATCTGCTCAGATAAAAAAAATGATAGTGATAAGTCAGTTGAAGAGCTAGGGAGGACATTACAGAAGAAAACAAGGCTTACTTCACAGTATACAGATTCTACCCAGGCCCTCTGCTGTCCAGGCTGGATTTGAAGGGCTTTTGCTCTTGCCAGTTAGTATTTGTATTCTATTTTTGGCATGAATCAGAAAAAGAGCAGCATTTTTTTCAGCAAAGGCAGATGCTATATGGCATCTCCTGCATAGTACCTACAAATGCAAACCAAATTTAAAGAGCAGTCAAAATTGTTTTCATAATGCAGGAGTGCTAGTCAAATGGTGGGTCCAGTCAGGAGATGCTAAGCATGCTTAAAATACAAGTCACGGCATACATGAGGAGTGCTTCCCCCCCCTCCCCCCCCTTTTAAACTGTGGTCATCATATCACAAGATCTCAGGCAACAAGAACTGCATCCCTCCCAGATGATTCATTTTATGTTGCTAATAATATAAAAATCATCATACATCTTTTCCTTCACTTTATTTTATCAAATTAAAACAAGAAAGTAAACCAATTTATAAAGCAGGCAGAATCTAACAAAATTCTGCTTAGTAATATCATAACCTATGCTAACTGAGTAATGGAAAGTTTTGACTTTCTTCCCAAGAAATCTGCAAGGGCTTTATTGACTTGTGGTGTCCAATGTTGAAAAAAAATTAATATAATTATTTTAGAAGACATCTATCCTAATAATGGAAAGAAAAAATAATTGTCCCAGTCTTCAAAAATAGCGATGAGAGATCCTGCACCATACTGTCCTATTAGTCTTATATAGTTTTATTGTCAGTGTTATTGTATTGTTTAGTGAAAGCTGTTAATAAACTACTACTGACAAAGATCTGCCTGACTGGTCAAGCTGCTTCATCTCCGTTTCTGTCCCCCACTTGTCCACTAAGTCTAAATAGTCTTTGTTTAGGCAGGGGACATCTCACCATGGCTACATACACATACATCATAGCTGTATCTGGACTGATGTTTTTTAAACAAATGAACACAACAATATCTGCATTGACAAAGCACTTCTCGTTTTAAACAACTGTCACTTGCTCAAAGTAAATTTTCAGTGGGAATCGTCTTAGCTAAAATGACCTAACTTAAAGAAAAAAGGGGTTTTTTTTTTGGTGACTACAAGGTTGTGTGTTTGTAACATGCTTAATGAAGAGGACCCCGACCTCACTTGAGACCTCTGGACACAAGTAAATTACAAGCAACATGACATACATAGAGAGAAAAGCAATAATCACTTAATTGCTTGTTTACCGCATTCAAAAGAATGCATACAAGCTAGCTGCCAAATGAAAGCTCCGTAAGTGGGCTACCAGACCTTTTTTTTTTTTTAAAGAATGGAGGCAGCATATGTAGGACCAAACCAGACTTTAGCTTGCACTTTCATTGAGGTGACTTCAGTGGGTTGCACAAATGTAACTGGGGACATAAGCTGGCCCTATAAACAGCTCAGTAAGATACCAAAAATAAAATGTAAACATGACCATCTCATTGAGTATAACCCAGAACTCCAACAACTGTTCTGCAATTACACAAGTCTGGTACACTGTTTAGTTGAGAGGATCCCACGTACGCTTCACACACATCCCTGTACTCTGAAGAGCTACCAAATACATTGGAATTTCACTTCCCATTGCCCACAAGCACAGCTATTTCAACAGAAAATGGGAAAGGTTTGAACATAAGAACATACGAATTGCCATTTACTGGGTCTAATCATATCAGAGAATCACAGAAACTAAGGGTTGGAAGGGACCTCAGGAGGTCATCTAGTCCAACCCGTGGCTCAAAGCAGGACCACCCCCCACTAGATCATCCCAGCCAAAGCTCTGTCTAGTTGAGTCTTAAAAACCTGCAAGGATGGAGATTCCACCACCTCTCTAGGTAACCTGTTCCACTATTTCACCACCCTCCTTGAGAGAAAGTTCTTCCTAATATCTAACCTAACCTTCCCTTGCTGCAACTTGAGACCGTTGCTCCTTGTTCTGTCATGTGTCACCACAGAGAACAGTCTAGCTCCATCCTCTTTTGAAACTCCCCTTCAGCTATTACATCTCCCTGTCTTCTCCACACTAAATAAGCCCAGTTCCCACAGCCTCTCCTCAGAAGTCTTGTGCCCCAGCCCATGAATCATTTTGGTTACCCTCTGCTGGACTCTGTCTAATTTGTTCACATCCTTTTTAGAGTGGGGTGCCCAAAACTGGACACAATACTCCAGATGTGGTCTTACCAGTGCTGAATAGAGGGGAATAATTACTTCCCTAGACCTACTGGCAATGTTCCTACTGATGCAGCCCAGCATGCCATTAGCCTTCTTTGCAACCATAGGTCCATCTTGCCCAGTGTCTTGGGGCACAGTGGTAGACAGCAGATGCTGAAAGGGAGAGTGAACTGGGTACAACCAGGGTTTTTTTTCCCCACCATTCCTCTCTTGCTTGCAGCCTCCAACATTAAGGTGCAGTAAGTTCTGATTCAGAGGCGGTACCCCTAACTTGTGTGCTCAACAGCTACTGATGCCCCTTTCCGCCAAGAATTTGTCTAATCCTTTTTTGAATCTGGCTAAACTGTTGGCTTCCCCAACATCTGGTGGCAGTGAGTTTCACACTTTAATTACACGTTGTGTGGAAAAAAAAAAATTCCTTCTGTTAGTTTTAAACTGACTACCTACTGGTTTCATTCTGTGACCCCCCCTAGACCTTGTCTGGTGAAAGAGAATAAACAATCAAGCTCTAATGACGTTCTCTTTGCCATTTAGTATTTTGGAAACCCTTATTGTGTGCCCCTTGCAGTGTCAGGAAGGAAAGGCCAGAAACGGAACAGCAACACTTGGGAGAGCGAGAAATTTCAGGGAAGGAGGGAACCCCTGTGGCACTGAAGGGCTGCAACCAGGGGAGGATGGGGCAGGAGCGTTACAGAAGCAGTGGTAGACACAGTGTCGTGAGTGAGAGATGAGTGCCGAGGTCCAGCGTGGAAGACAGGCACCATGCAGGACGGGGGTGGTCTGTGCAGGTGCTGCAGGGGCACAGGAGCCAGGCTGGAAGCTGCGGAGACAGACCTTCCCCCTCAAAGCCCATCCACGGGCTGTGGCAGAGACTATCCTCAAACCAAGGGCTGGGTGATGGGCAAGACGCACCTTACAGCCCTTCTGTGGCATCCAACGAAGCAAGCTTCAGCCCATGAAAGCTGGTGCTCTCTGCCTCCCTCCCTCCCTCCCTAATCCGACATACATACAAATCCGCTCTGGCTAGCCTCCGTGCTGCACACCTGCCTCCTCTCCACACCTGCGAAACTACTACACCTCTCCTCCCTGGCCGCCGTGGTCCTGGCAGGCGGACGCCTGAACACAGACTGCCCTGGGGCACTGCACAACCATGGGCACAGCGGGGCAGGCAGAGGGGGCACCCCCCAGCCTGAGGGGAGTTGGGGGGGCAATGCAAGGAGAAGCGATGCACGTGCCTGGGGCAAAGGGGGTGGGGGTGGGACACACACCGCACACAAATACCCCCCCACGCACAGACACACACAGGGCGATGGAGGCACCGGGCGGTACCGACCTCCCCAAACTGCAGGGCGGAGACGATCATGAGCACGACGCCGCCGAGGCAGAGGCAGGGCCCGTAGCGGTGCGACAGGCACGTGTAGGTCTGCCTCTGCAGGAGCTTCAGCAGCA